CAAAGTCCACCCAATATACAATTCGGTGCCTTTTTGAGGAGGCACATGCTTACAGTCTTACAACTTGTATTGTTTTAACAATATCTCAGTGTGATGATACTGAGTTAGTCACAGTAACTGGGATCCCCTATCTCACGCAATCTTGACACCAAAAATATATACTCTCTCTCTTAAGTCCTTAATATCAAATGTCGACTTCATCCATTTTTTGTAAAATAATATTTAATATATAATATTTAAGAGATTGTTTTGATGCCCAAAAAAGTTAATAGATATTTACAATACAATATATATTATATATTGTTTTATAAATAATATAAAATAATATTTAATATATAATATTTAAATAAACATGACTTTATATTTCAACAGGTCAAACACAAGTATCTAGAACTTCTTAAACATTCTAGCACTTCTTTCTTCCCAAAGAAGAAGAACTTCAATTTCAATAATACATGCTTTTATAATATTTATATAAATAAAATTTTATAGCAAAAGTTTGTATTGTTGCAACTTCAAATGTAGAATTAAGGTGCACCTTAAAATTTCGTCATGTCCAAAAACCTCTTAATTGATCATCTCGACATCAAGATGTATGAATATAAAAAAGAAAAAAGACTATTGAGTCCTAAAAATAGTGTATCTTGCAACAAATTATCTAGACCATCCATTTCCGTATTTTCAAGTATGTTTATAGATTTACTTGATTTGAACCATTTTTGAAGTTTAAGATTTTATATTTAGAGATGAAAATAGATTATCAAGCCATCTTAAAAACTTTTAAGACCAAAATTATATTTGTGATAAAAACTCTTAACACCAAAATTATATTTGTGATAAAATTTGAAGGTGCACTGTTTAAAGTTGCAACCTTTTTACCCACCACACCCTTAGATATGGTATATCTGGAGTTGATTTAATATGGATAGCTATCCTCAGTATTCGATTGAACGAGCAGAACTCAAAAACCGCCAAGGGCAGGGTCCAAGTAACTGAGAAACCGGCTAGTTCACCCTGCCGAACTTCACAGGTTTCGATTGGGCCAAAAAGTTTTAAAAGATAAACGAACTACAAAAAAAGTCTTAAAAAATATGAATAGTAAAGTTTGAGAGAGCGTGCAAATATACACAAGATTATGGAGGTCCGCATATCCAAAGCCCAATAGCTACATTGGGCTATTTTGATAAAAGATTACACAAATACATGTATCTATATGTAGATGATAATAATATAGCCCAATAGCTACATTTCACTCTTTGGATAAAAGATTACACAAATACATGTATTTGTATCTATGTATAGAGGATAATAATATGAAATTACACAAATATATGTATCTATATGTAGAGGATAATAATATAGCCCAATAGCTACATTTCACTATTTGGATAAAAGATTACACAAATACATGTATTTGTATTTATATATAGAGGATAATAATATGAGATTACACAAATACATATATCTATATGTAGAGGATAATAATATAACCCAATAGTTACATTTCACTATTTGGATAAAAGATTTTGGATAAAAGGTTACACAAATACATGTATTTGTATCTATACATAGAGGATAACAATATGAGTAACCAACTTGACTATGGCAGACATAGAAAAATAA